AATATAATAAATGATAATTTTCATTTAAGGTGGGTCATACATTTTTATTAGATACAAAATACACAATACCTTTAGAAGTAAAAATAAAAATAAATGATAAATCAGTACCCTTAGTAATGGGTTGTTTTGGACTTGGTTTAAGTCGCATTTTTACAATTATGACTGAATTATTATCTACCGAAGAAGAATTAAGATGGCCAAAAAATTTAGCACCATATACTGTATGCCTTATACCACCAAAGGTAATATGTACTATATAATTTTTTATAGATGTTAAAAATCATTATAATTTATAGGCAGGAAGCAAAGAAGAAAATAAAAGTAATCAATATGTAAAAACAGTAATGGAAATTTTAAATCAATTAAATATTGATACTATACTTGATGATAGAACAAACTTAACTATTGGAAAACGTTTTATGCATGCTCGCGTAACTGGATTTCCATATGTTATTATAATTGGTAAATCCATAATGGACTTTTCACCTTTAATTGAAATTCATAATATAAATAATTCAACAAATTGTAAAATACCTTTAAATGATATATCTAATTATTTTAATAATGAAGATATCAAAATTTAAAATAATATATATGTAGTATAATATATATATTTACAAAATGTTTAATAAACAAAAAAAATTATTTAAATAATATTTATTTTTTACTACGTAAAAAAATATTGAAATTAATGAATATCAAATTAATGTTCTAATTTAACTTTAATTTTGTGATATGCATTACAAAGAAAACCTCGTAAATTCCAAATATTTTTAATATTTTCTGGTTGGACATTATATGATGCATCTACAGCTTTTGTCCATATCTCCATTTCTTTTAATTCTTTCTTGACAGGAAGATCTATACTCCACAATGTCCAGCTCCAATATCGACCTACTTTAGCATTATTATCCTCAGCATCTAAATTAGCCGTATGCCAAGTTTCACCTTGATCATTTGTTACATCAACTCGAATAATTTTTCGACCTCCTCCTGACCATGCATATCCTATAAAAATAGTTTGATTGGTTATAATCTTATTATAAAGATTTTACTATCATAGAAAAGTGAAATCTTAAAAATTATTTTACCTTTCACATTTATTTTTCCATTTATTACTTTAATTATTTCAGATTGTTCTGGTTTGCAAATTGCAGAAATTACAGGCATTTCTTGTATAGCAGGTGCCTTAGAAAAATCTACATTATCCCAATCAATATTGGGAGAAAAGACTTTATAATCATTTTGTTGCCATTGTGACTGACTTTCTTTTTTTGAAACTATTATTTTAGCTATAGAAATTAAAACAAAATTTAATCAAATAATTAATTATTGCACACTTTAATTATAATATTTGTTACCAAATATTTGTTACCAAGCCATTTTACATTCCTGGCTCCCACAACGCCTGGGACAATTACTCTAATGGGAAATCCATGATCTCTTGGTATAGGTTGTTCATTCATTTCATAAGCTAAAATTATATCTGCTTTGGAATCCATTGCTTTGCTAATAGGTATACTTGCACCATATGGTGTACCAGAAGGATCTAAGTCATATCCTTCAAACTTGTTCCATGAAATTATTATATATCTATTTTTAACATTTAAAAAAAAATTATTTTTTGCTATTTATTATTTTTTAATTAATACCTGTATATGATTGTAATCATCTTCTTTAATTTTTAAATCTTTTAATATATCACATAATCTTGTACCAGTCCATGTAGCATTACCAACAGCACCTATACCCCAATTAAGTCCTTTTAATTGCTTTTCCTAAAAGATAAAAAAAATAAGATAATTAATAATAAAAAGGAATAATTTTATATTTTTATGGAATAATATGTTATAGAACAGAAAAAAATATGTTAATTTACTTTTATCATTTCTGATCTCCTATTTCCTGCACACATTATAGCACTTGTTATTGTATATTTAGGATATTTTTTTATGTCTTCAAATTTCAAAATCTTTTTTGTTACTTCTTCTATAACTAGTTCTAAAGTATAAGTTTTCAAATCTATTTCAGGAACAGGAAGATGATTTCTTACATAAAACAATTCCCTAAAATTAATCAATATCTTATTAATCAATCAATATCAAATCAATCAAAATTCCCTTAATTAATCAATATCAAATTTAAAAAATAAAAGTTTAAAAAAAAAATTTCAAATTTACATTGGTGTAATAAAACTTTCAATCAATAAAGATGGTGGTGGTTCAGCACAAAAAGGTTTTTCACCATTTATCTTCAAAACTTTATGTCTTATGGGTTCTTTTGAATATGGATCATTATCATTAATTGTATTGAATATTGCATCTTCTTTAGAAATGTTTCCAATTCTCATTGATTCAAGAAGTTCATATATTTCTTGTGTGTTATGATTAGCAAAAATTGCCCAAAATGGTTCAATTGAACTTCCAGCTGCCATTAATATTTTTGAAGAACCACCTGGATGTTTTTCAATAAAATCTGTTATATCATATACTCCTTGCTTAAATGTTACCCATATGCGATTTTCTTTATTATCATGTTTGCCTATTTCTTCTAAATTGTATGTTTTTAAGTCTACTCTGAACTCTCCACATGGAATAAATTTTTTATTTAAAGCATAAATATTTTTATAAGATATATAATAATATAATCCTAATATGGATGTAGCAACAGTAATATATGCTGTATATTTTACATAAGAATTATTTTTGAATGTGTTTTGTTTTATATATAGTTCTCTATGATAATTTTTAAATGTTCTAATATGATATTGATTTGACATTAATGACAAATATCTAAAATAATTAATATCTTATTAGAAATAAATTTTATATTTACATCGTAATAATATAATAACGAAATTTAAACTAATAGAAACCTATTTTTTCGTTGATTTATAATCTTCGAATATAAAATCATAGTATAAAAATTTTGTATTTGATAATCAAAACAATAGAATATGAATAATGAGAAAATTTTTCCTCATAAATTATTATTAAATAAAATAAAATAGATATAATAATTATATTTACGCCAAATAAAAAATCATATATTAATGATTTATGTGAACATATTATTTTTGTTTTAGTTTTTTTTTAAAAAGTTTTTAGAATGTAGATATCGCGATAAGTACTTCAAGTATTATACTCAATTTTATCAATTCAGCTTAAAACAAGAATATAATAATATATAATTAATAATGAAATTGAAATATAAATAAATATGAATATAAAATTATAAATAAAACAAGATGATAGAATAAATATTCAATTATAAAATATTTTATAGATATATGTTATGTATATTATGTATATTTTGTAGAAGTATATTTTTATTTATATTTTACATAATTAAATTTATATAAGTGTGAAAACAAGTATTGTTTTTCAACATATATATTTAATATATATTGGAATATATTATATTTTGTGAAATTATTATCTTAAAGATATTTTTTAAAGAGAATGTATATCTCTATTCTTTTTATATCTATATGTATATCTATATTTTTTTATCTATATTAAAGATTAAGATATATTATTATATTATAGTTTTATTATATAGTTTTGAAAAAAAATAATGAAAGTGTGTTCAATTAATATTCGTAGTCATAATCACACATTAAAAACAAGTAAAACAAATAATGAGAAAAAAAAATAGGATAAAAATTCGGAAATCAATACTATCTCAATAGAATAAGATGCAAAAATAGCAAATAACAAAAGGATAAAAATAGAATAAGAATTTACTATCAATGCCATCTCTTAAATTAAACACATCACTTTAAAGATAGGAGCAAAAATTAACAATTAACGCCATCTTTCAAATCCTTTTGAAAAGATTTTGTTTTTGGCGCTGATTTCTGGATTTTTATTCTATATTTAATTTTCTCCCACTATTTATTCTATTTGTCTCTATTTGCTCATTTATCCCATGCTATTTTAAATTGATAATATCGCATGTGATGCCGCAACATGATAATATGGATTAATAATTTAATATGTAATAATAATTCTCATAATTCGTGTTCGCATTGATGTATATATAGTTTTGTGATGTTATCTTTTTTCTACTGTAAGGAAATCATTTGGTAACACTGCTTATCACTATTGAGAATGATGGCTCCCTGTCATTCTTGTATACGGATATTTTCGTAATTCTTTGTATCATTATTTCTTTTTCAGCACTTAGAAACTTTTCAATGAAATCTTTATAAAATTAGATAATCAAGAATAATAGTATTCAAAAAAACTTTCAAATTTGATTTTTAAATATAAAAATCACTTATTTATGTGACATCTCAAGTTATCTGCTTTATTAGTAAGTAAATATCTAATGTGTTCACTGTTTAAAATTTATTACATATTTTTAATTTATAAACATGAGATTATAGAAATGTTTTTGTCATAAAAATATTATATATATCAAAATATTATTTATTCATTTGAAATTATTGAAAATTTAATATAGAGGTTATATCGAAAAAAATTAATAATTATACGAATTTAAAATAAAAATAATATGTAATATATTTATGTAAACATTATTTATATTTATATAAATAATTTAAAATTATAATATAATAATTGTTATTTAAATCAGTACATTTTTAGATAAAAGAAATGATAAAAATTGAATAATTAATTATGGCAATGACTATGAGAAAACGAAGTGGTTCAGGTTCCAAACGTCAACATAAAGGAAAGCTTGTACCAATTTATGAAAGCTTTTTTAAAGGAGAAGATTTAACATTAGCTCATCCAAATTTTTGGAATGAATTGTTCTTAATTAAACCTATGGTCAGTATTTTTTTTATTTACTTCTAAATACATTAGACTTTATTTAATATCATATAAATACAAATAAAGTAAAAATTTCTAAAACTTCCAGACAATATAATAAAGATTCCAAATTAAAAATTCTTCTAATTTGTTACATATATTATTGAACACGTTTCATCTATAATAAAAATTTTTCATTGAAAAGAAATGTCATTAGTAATAAAGATTAAAATTATATTATACTTTTCTCTCTTTCTTTGTTGCATATTCTTCATGTATATATTTTTCATTTTCTTGATATTTTTTATTATCTTTTATTATCTTTTTATCATCTTTTTCTTGTTTCTTTGTATGTGGCATTAATTCATTAATAACATAAGTATTCTTTAAATCATTAAGTGAAGTTGTACTTTCATGATTCTTGCATTTATTTTGTGATTTTGTTTCAGATGATTCATTTTGTGTTTTTTGTTGTTGTGATCCATTTTTAGCTAAAAATTTATTTATGGTTATTATATATAAATTATAATCATTTTATATAAAACAAATATATGTTTCTAATACAATTATTTACCTTTAGTTTTAATAGGTTCTTCACATTCTAATTCATTATTCAAACTACCAGGCATAAATTTGCACTTAAAATTAAACCATGCTTCGCTTGTTTGAATTTTATATTTTAGACATTTTAATTGATATATGCACACTCTTCCATAATATTTTGTCACTTCCCATGTTGGTATTGTCTATAAAATTATATTACATATAAATAATAATAGAAATAACTTTGTAAATTATAAATATATTTTTATAACATGTTTGTACACTTACTTGTATTAACTTTGTAACAAATTTACCAATCATTATTGATGTACTAAAGTACATTTATATAAACAAATACAAATTTTTAAATATTAGAATCATAAAATTGCAACATCATTTTTTCAATTTAAAAAAATTTTTTAATTAACCAAATAAAATGAAAAAATTTAGTACTTCTTATTGATAACAAATTTTTTTTATAATTTTTTCCTGTCAAAGAGAAAACAAATGAATTCTTATATTATATACCTTGTGATTAAATTCACATTTAGTATTTAATTGTTTTACAATTATATTTTACATTTTTTATATTTATATTTTATATTTTATATTTGTTTTACATTATATTTTACAATTTTTTTTATATTTTTAGGTTCCACATATTGAAAATGAAATTTTACATATGACTACAGAACAATTAAATGCAAGTAGAGAAAACTTAAATGCTTTAGTTTGCCATTGTGTAGATACATTAGTTGATGAACATCCTTTCAGAGTTGTATATGCTTTACAAACTTTAGCAGCTGTCATTCAATCTATGTATAAAAAAGCTAGTCAAAGTGATTGCGGATTTAATTTAATAGACATCTTAGTAGGGTTTGATTCTGCAGAGCAGAGAATGACAACATTAATGCAACATTGTAATAATTTTTTAACAGGTATAATTAATATTTGATATATTTCTTAATATTTAATCATTTAATATTAGCTTATTAGAAATCAAAGATTCAAATATACATTTGATATTTAATCTTTCAAAAAAACCAATTATTAAAATTTTTCATGATTCTAGGTGAATATCCTGATAGTTTAAAAGCTTTATGCTTAAAATTATTGTTAATTATTGTTACTGGCATGGACAATGTTAGTCAAAACACTTTATTGGAATATGTTATGCTTAATAGTGTTTTTGAATCTCTGGTTCAAGTAGGTGTTATTTTAATACAAATATTATAATTGTTAAAAGTATTATTCTAATTAAGTATTGATATTTTTAATATATTTTCTTTATATAGTTGCTAAGAGATACAACAGCTAGAAATCGTCACGGGCATGATGCAGTGTTGCTTTTAACACTTCTAGTCAATTATAGAAAGCACGAAAGAGCAAATCCTTATATTGTTAAGTTATCAATTTTAGATGATGAATTAGCTCTTAATGGATATGGGCAAGTTATATCAAGTTCATTGATGGAATTTTGTAGGCAATTTGCTCAACAAAGAGCAGGTATATAATTTTTATATTCTTAAGTTATTTAAGTTATTATATATATAATAATAAAAATTGTTATATAATTTTATGTACAGAAATACAAGCATCTTGGTTATCTTCCTTAACTAGTATAGTTGGAAGCATGTTTGTTGGAGAAGAAGAAGCAAAAACGCAACAAGTTCGTGCAAATAATGCATTATTATTAGCACTTTATGAAGCAACGCATTTAAATCGTAATTTTGTAACTACTTTGGCATACACACAAAGTGATACGAGTGCTCCACCTTCTCCAAATAATACATTAGGACCAAATGCAGTAGCTCCTGGAGCACAATTACCTGATATAATGGCTCAGCCATTTAATTTATTGGCTACATTTTTACAATATTGGTGAGAAAGAAAATATTCTATGTTATAAAAATACACATCTTTTTTAATATTTATAGTATTTATATATACTTTAGTATTTATAGTACTTTTTATTTTAAAGAATTTTAATTATTTCAGTTCAATAGTGATGCAAGTAATCAGAACAGAGGCAATAATGAATAATGTTAAGTTGTGCTTCCTCATATTAAGTTGTATTGCAGAGGATCAATATGCAAATAGTTTGATGCATGATGCAAACTTAGCATTTAGGGTACAACTTCATCGAGTACCAATGCATCATAGAAAGATACAAGATAAAACTGCACCAGCTCAACCATTAGCAGCTACTTTACTTGGTATAATCGTTATATGTTCCATTAAATTTGAGTTGTTTAAATAATTATTAAATTATTACAGATTTACTCGTTGAATTTGTTACATCACATATGATGAAAAAATTTCCATTGGAACTTTATCATCAATGTATCGGAGTTTTACAGAGGTTGCTTTGTTACCAAAAAAGATGTAGAATTAGACTTGGATATCAATGGAGAGATCTTTGGACTGCTTTGATTAATTTACTCAAATTTTTAACAACACATGAAAGTCATCTTATTAAAAAAATGAATATTTTTCCATTAGCTATTCAGGTAAATTAATATTTTATTTAATTTTATTAATAAATTGCAAATTAAAAAAATGAATCTAATTTTTTTTAGGTTGTGAATATTTTAAATCTATTTATTACATATGGAGATACATTTCTATCTTCTCCTAGTAGTTACGATGAATTATTTTACGAAATAATACGAATGAGGCTGATTTTCACAAATTTAAATGCTATGGGTATATTTTAAATATATAATTTTATTATATATTTTTATTTTTTATTTAAATTTTATAATATTTAATAATAAAAGCACATTATTTTACATTATTTAAAAATACATTATTTAATATTATTTTTTTAAGCACTCCGATATTCAACAAGTGAATCTTATGAATATAAAGAACATGCATTAAAATTGACGAATTGTTTAGTAAATATGAGAGATATAGTAAATCATTTTCCACCAAAAATAGCAGCATGGCTTGCAAGTGAAAGTTTGTCTACTCCAACAGAACAACAAATTTTAGCTATCATAATACAAAATTATGATAGCCTAACTTTAAAATTACAAGACAATTTAGATCAATATGAAAGATATTCTGAAAAATCTAATCATGTTGCTTTCTTTGAAGATATGGTAATAATAAAATGTATAAGATTATGATTCTAAATAATATATTATTTTTTATGATTTCTTTTTTTAATATTTATATTATTTTTTAGGTAACTGGAGTTGTAATTGATACTCGGGGATCGATAGATTTGAGTACATTAGATACACAGGCTATATTACAAGAATTATCAAATATTTCGTAACACAGATTCTATACAATGCGAATAATATTTTGTTTGTCATTCTGTTGTCATGTTGTATTATAATATATTTTTTTTAATAAAGTCGGCTTTATATGTATATTCTTAATATCGCAGAAAACGTATAACTACTTGAGAAAAGAATACATCATAATGAGTTTGATTATACATAATATTACATATATAATATTCTTATGGATTGTATATGCAAGTTTTTAAAAAATAATTAAAATTTAATAAGTATAAAATAGAATCTTTACATTATAATCTAAGTTGTTTTTCAACAAATTCATATTTTCTTGCTATATCATTTATGTTTTTTAATCTGTTTATAAAAATATAATTATAAATCCTTTTTTAAATATTTTTTTGCAAGAATTGCAATACCTGTTTTAGATTGATTTTTTCTTTGAAGCTGAGTACTAATAAATTCTCCTATTTTTACTATTTCATTGAGATTGACTCCAGTTTTCAAACCTTGCTCATGTAACAAATAAAGTAAATCTTCTGTAGCAACATTTCCAGAAGCTCCAAGTGCATATGGACAACCTCCTAGACCAGCAACAGATGAATCAAAAGTTCTTATACCACATTCAAGGCTAGCATAAATATTAACTAAAGCTTGCCCATATGTATCATGACAATGAATTGCAAATTTATTCATATCATTTGATACATGTTTCAATTCATATAATAAACTTTTTATTTTATTAGGTGAACCTACTCCAATAGTATCTCCCAAAGAAATTTCACAGCATCCACATTCTAACATGAATGCAGTTAAATTGGCTACAATTATTGGTTTAATTTTACCTTCATAAGGACAATCAACAATACATGATATATAACCTCTGACTTTAATATCATGTTTTAATGCATCTTCAATAATTATTTTAGCATTTTTCATATTATCATTAATGGAGCAGTTGGTATTTTTCCTTGAAAAAGTTTCAGATGCAGCTCCAAAGATAGCTATTTCTTTTACACCTACTTTTAAAGCATTTTTTAAGCCTTTTATATTTGGTATTAATACTGGATAAGAAATATCCATTTTTTTATTAATTTTTTGGAATACTTGTGCATTATCTGCCATTTGTGGAATCCATTTTGGAGACACAAAACTAGTAACTTCTATATTCTTTAATCCACTTTCTGATAGTTTATTAATAAATTCAACTTTAATTTCAGTTGGAACAATATTTTTTTCATTTTGTAATCCATCTCGAGGTCCGACTTCTACTATTTTTATAAAATTACTAAATAATCTTATCTTTTTCATAGAAAAATAATATATTTTATTTATACTGATAGTTTTAAACATGATTAATTTAAAAATATTTTCTTTATTTATATTATTTATAAATATATTATATTTATATTTTATTTTTTTAATAAGATTTAATATTATACTTGAAAGAATATGATTAATATAATGAAAAATAATTTCACTGTATTATTTTTAAATAATTAATATTGAATGATAAGTTGATAATGTATTAAATAAATATACTATATTTACAAAAATATTCATAATTCATTTATGTTATTTCATCATTTATTATATATTGTTTTAATGAATAATGAAATATAAATATAAAACAAGTTAAAATTGAAGTAAAACAGTATAGAAAAAAAGATAATAATATGTTTTCAAATTTTTATAAATTATTATTTGTAAATTTGAGTTAAATTAAAATTCAAGTTTTTCATCATTCGATTTGCTATAGTAGCGCTACTTTATACGACGCCATTTTTAAAAGTAGTTCGTATATTGTATAGATCGTATAATATAAAAAACAATTTGGAATATTATCATATCGAAGAAAAATAGAATTTGCAGCAAATGTGAAATATTTGTATATTTGTTTTTAGTGAAATACTTGTTTGAATTTGTTTGATATATATAGTTTACCTATTGTTTTAAAACGCATTATTGATTAAATATATATTTTAATTAATATTTCAACGTTACGTCTTGAATTTAAAATAAAAAGTTTTATAAGAAGAAAATATGTTTCCGGCTTATTCATATTTATCAGCTTATGATAGACATAAAAAACTTATTAATGATTATTTTACGTTATATGGAGGTTCGGTATCATCTTTAGAACGAGACACGTATGTTAAATTTTTTAATTTGATTTCATATATTTTTATATCATTATTTAAATTATAACCATAGTGTATAATTGTATATAAATTAATATTTTTTTATCTTTATATTGATTCAAAATATAAAAATTTAATAAAAAATATATTCAAATATTAAAAAAATACATATAATATAAAAATAAACGATAAAGAAATGACAGCTTTGTAAACTCTAAAACAAGCAGCTCTTGACGTTTCGGCCTGTGTTTCGAGGTCCCGAGACAAGACAGACTATGATGTTATTAAAGAAAACCATAGATTTTTATGGGATCAGGATAAAGATGAACCAAATACATGGGGTGCTCGTTTGGCAAAGAAATATTATGATAAATTGTTTAAAGAATATTGTATAGCAGATTTAACGTATTATAAGCAAAACAAGGTAAATTATGTAGATTTAATATAATATAATAAAATGTTTTTAAATTCAGTTCTAAAGATTAATATTAAATAGGTTGCTTTAAGATGGAGAACAGAAAAAGAAGTTATCATTGGTAAAGGACAATTTGAATGTGGAAATAAAACATGTAAAAATAAGGAACAACTTAAATCTTGGGAAGTAAATTTTGGTTATATAGAGCATGGTCAAAAAAAGAACGCTCTTATCAAATTAAGTAAGTTATTCCAACTTATTCAAAATTCCTGTATCTAAAATGTAAAAATATAGATGAAATATAGATTCATTATTAATATAAATTTTAAGGATTGTGTCCTGAATGTTCCATAAAGTTGAATTATAAATCCCAAAAAAGAGAAGCAAAAAAACATAAAATATTAAAAAGATTAGGAACAAATATAGAAACATCTAATAATACACCTAGTACTTCTACAGTTCAGGTTAAAATTGAAGAAAATAAAGCTATAAATAATATTGAAAAATCAATTGAAGAGAAGGATGAATCTAAAATTTGGAAAGAAAAACCAATTGAAGATTTGGAAAAAACAAGAGAGGAAGAATTTGAAGAATATTTAGCAGATCTATTAATCTAAAAAATAATTTATTTTAATAATTAAAATATTAATAATATCTATAAAATTAATTTTTGTTATAGATATTGTTTAAAAAATATAATTTCTATATATATGAAAAAAAATTAAATTCATTTTCAAATAAATATAACAATTACAGTTATCATATTTTTATTTCAATTGATACATATAATTCATATTTTACCAGCATGATAACAAGGCTTAGTATACATATTTTTTAATTTTTACACACAAAATAGCTATTGTTTATTTTTACTTACATTAAAAGTATGAAAAAATCTAGCACCAAATAATGTGTATATTTATACATATACATATATATTGTATAATAAATAAATACAATTATTTATTTGTATTGCAGTCAAAAATTCTTAACAATCTTCATGATATATACATTATTGATAATGAAATAAATTGTACAATTTTAATACAATTTTTATTTCTTTTATTATTATTGATATATTTATTCCATTAACAGATAATATAAATTGAAATTTTATTTATAATTAAAATCATAAAATAAAATATCTATCTAATATTTATAACTTATAAAAATTATTTTGTTTTTTTAATTTGTATAAGAATATTGCTTTATTTTTTCAAAATAATCTAATATCTTTAACAAATTAAAAGATATTAAATATATATAATTTTACATTCAACTATACAAGAAAAAATTAATAATAATTCATTATTTTGAATTTTTCTATATCAATCTTATTATAAGTAATAAAATGAATAAAATTTGATATAAAAACTTTATCCTAATATTTGAATTTACATTATTTTCAATTATATATAATAATACTTATTATTTACAATACATAACAAGATAAATTCAATTCTTCAAGATTAATAAATTCAATTTTTTTAGTTTTTTTTTTTCTATATTGTAAATATTTTTTATATGAATACCAATTTCTGTAAGAATTGTATATTTGAAGAATATAATTAAAAAAAATTATTTATGTTAATACTTAATATGTCAATTTATTATTATTTTTATTCTTTATCAAAAATTTGTTATTGATATAAAAGAATGAATAATTATGTTTTATTTGATTAATTTCTAAATTCTAATATTATATTAATTTATAACTTGTATATGAATACCTAAATTATTTTCATATATATTTTATATTACTTTATTAATTTATATTGCACTTTGTAAATTTTTGTATGACAGTAATTTTACTTTTCATGTATTAATATTATATCTTCATGTAAAATATTATATTCATTCTGAAATATATATGTATATATAAATATTATTACATTATTAAAAAAAAAAAGATGGATAAATTCATTAATATTTCATGCAATATAATGGAAGTTATCTGGTAATTTTTGTTATAAAGAAATGAAATATAATAGAAAGTTATTATTATATGATTTGAATTTTAAACACAAATATTTATGTATTAGGATTGTATTCAATTCTTTTGTAATATTGTTAAGAAGAAAGAGAGCGAAGGAACAAATATAATCAAAACAAACGATAGTAAAAATAATTCATTTACAATTAGAATTCCTTGTACATGATCTTACATGGTTTGCTTTTTGTGAATCACTATCCTCATCACTACAATCTTCATCATGTGTATGCGTCACATTACGTGGTGTTTCAGGTCTTGCATGAGGTATTTGATTACTGGGACAATCCACATACAAAGTTTTCTAATAATTAATAACATTGATATTTATAATTGCATTCCATATATATATATATATATACATATATATATGTATATCAAAAAAGAAACTCTTGGAGTTTACATACGGTAGGATTATTTTGTTCTTCTTCTTCATCATTAAGCTTAGATGTTCGAGATCGACTAATCATTGGTGTTTCCATAACAAATCTCTGTTCATGAGCTACTGTACTCTCATGAGGCATCTTAATATTAGAATTAATTACAAATATTCAATCAAAAAAAAAAAAAA